AGAGCTGTCTCCTCCCATCTTAAATTCCTCTCTAGGGCTGGGATTAAAGGCATGCACTACTACTGCCCAGTTTTTATGTCAAACTAATGTGGCTACTGGGATTAAAGGTGTGTGTCATCACTGCCTGGTCTCTAAGGCTGATCATTGCGACTGTTTTACTCTCTTAACTTCAGGCAAGCTTTATTAAAAACAATGAAAAGCTGGGCAGTGGTGGCACACACCTTTAATCCCAGCACTCAGGAGGCAGAGGCAGGCAGATCTCTGTGAGTTTGAGGTCGGCCTGGTCTACAAGAGCTAGTTCCAGGACAGCTAGGACTGTTACACAGGGAAACCCTGTCTTGAAAAACAAACAAACAAACCGAAAAAAAAAAACAAAAACAAATGAAAAATCACTACAGACTCCCAACCATAAAATCATTTTCATTGCTACTGTATAATTTTGATACTGTTATGAGTCATAATGTAAATATCTGATTATCTGATATGCGACCCCTGTGAAAGGGTTGTTCTGTTCCCAGAGGGATTGTGACCCTCAGTTGAGAACCACTGCTCTAGTTGAAAATAAAGGCTTTCAGAGATTCTGAATCTACTACCAAGGACTTTGTAAGGAGGAGAGAGTGGTCATAAGCCCTTAATCTCAATCCTGAAAGCTGGATTTGTGCATTAGTAGGGTTCTACCTCATTGTTGTCCACTGGATTTGTGCATTAGTAGAGTTCTACCTCATTGTTGTCCTCTGGATTTGTGCATTAGTAGATTCTACCTCATTGTTGTCCACTGGATTTGTGCATTAGTAGGGTTCTACCTCATTGTTGTCCACATTCATTTGTGGTCTCAGTGGCCTGCCATGTTAGGTTGCTGTGTAGATGTGCTTAATAAACGTAGCCTTCTTTATTCTCTCATGGTGTAGGGCATTTTTCCTCCAGATGTGTTTAGTGACTGCACATCCTTATTGTTGTCTTCCAGGCGATTCCTTCTTATCCTCGTTTGCCTTCAGTCCCACGTCAGATTCTGTGCAGTGATCCAGAAGTTTGTGTTAAACAAATTACTCAAACCTTGAAAAGTCTTTCTTAGATGTCATTTAAATCTAATATTTGGGAAATTCATGCCATGTCAGATGGTGTGTCTGTGTTAAATCTAAGCAGGGTTGTTTTGTTTTGTTTTTGCTTCTTTGTTTGTTTGTTTTTCAAAACAAGGTTTCTCTGTGTAACAGCCCTAAAGCCCTAACTGTCCTGGAACTCACTCTGTAGATCAGGCTGGCCTCAAACTCACAGAAATCCACCTGTCTCTGCCTCCCGAGTGCTGGGATTAAAGACGTGCACCACCACTGTCACCAGGCCATTTTGCTCTCTTAAATTTGCTTTTTTTGTAAAGCATTAAGAGAAAACCTCTTCAATAGTGAGGGTCTGGAGGGGTACAGTGGAGAATAGTGTTTGCTCTGCAGTCATGGGGTGTGAGTTTGAATCTTCAAGACCCACATAAAAAGCTTTGGGACAGGAGGATGCCAGGAGCTCACTGGTTAGTGAAAAACCTGGTCTGGAGGCAGAAAGGCAGAGATTCGTGTCCAACTCTGGCTTCCACATTGCACAGACAGGAGCATCCACTCACACACTTGTGTATACTATACACATGCACAAAAAAATCCATCATTAATAGCTGATGCTTGTATAATATCTTGGGGTTTATGAGGTGGTTATTTATAACAGTATTTCACTTAATCCTGCAATTCTAGGAGTAAGGAGAATCATCGCTGTATCTGTGGTAGAAACTAAGAAATGAAGAGGCTGAGTTACTTCTCAGGGCCTAATGATTTCTATGAAGCAGAAGTCTACTAATGCACTTGGGAGGCCAAGGCAGGAGGATTTTGAATTCCAGGCCAGAATGGACTACATAGTGAGACCCTGTTTGGGAAAAGAAAAAAAAAAAAAAAGCTCAAAAAGAAAAAAAAAACAGCTCAAGCTATGGTTTCCTGATCTCATCTCTTATGTCTTCTGCACAATGCCTTGCTTCCTGTAATTTTTCTTTGTTTTCTTCCATCATGACTTGTAGTTGCCTCCAAATGGGCTGAGAGTCTAACCTTTACTCTATGAGGGTCCATCAACTTAGTGATAGTTACTGTCACCTAGTGTCACCACGACTGCAGTAGTCAGAGGTGTGGTTGTTTAGGACAATGCTATCTAATCTCCATTTTCAGATGAGGTAATTAGTGTGGTGTTTGTATCTGAAGCAGGCAGCCAGTAACTAATAGGAACAGGCCTCAGCGAGAAGGGAGTTGTTGTTTTTTTCCTCAGCCAGCTGTGGTGCAGCACAAGAGGTTTCCTCTTTGGATAGTCATTTTTAGCAAACGTCCTTTCTTTTGCTCGGGTGCCCCCATGTCTTAGGTTGTGGGGAAGTTACTGCACCTACAACTCTGAATAACTGAGTTCCTATGGCAGCAGCCTAAGCCTCATCAGGTGGGCTCCCTACCTACTTAGAAAAATCACCTGGAACCCAGACTGATCAGCTTTACCTGGGATTCCTGCCTTGCCTTATCCAAGGGGCATTCACCTCTTTTCCCCTCAGGATGTGCATGGCATATCCCTTGGATAACTCTGCACATGGCAACCATTGCTTTTCAGTTTTGACTGAAATTCTGTCTAAAGAGTCCCTGCTCCAACCACCTCTCATTCTGTTCCCAAATAGCCAGGATCAGACACTGGAATATCTCCTTACTGACAGCTCAGAGTTGAACTTTGGAAATTTCAGAAAATTCCGTTTCTTTTGGCAGATAGCTTTTATAATTCTGCCATATAAGATTTTCTGCTGCTGATTAGAAATAGTGTAAGATAATATAGAGGAAAAAATAATGAAAGTAATACAGAATGTGGTGATGCATACTTGTAATTCCAGCACTCTGGAATACTGAGGCAGGAGGATTGCTGTGAATGAGAGGCAAGTATGGGTTAATTAGCCAGATTAATGATGACCTCAAGGCTTCTCTGTGATGCATATAGAAATCCTGTTTCAAATAACCAAAAGAGAAAATAAGAAAAAAGAAAATCCTTTACATGAATATCTATATATTTTACTACTTACAAAATGTTTTATGCTTATTAGCTTGATAAGTTGGGCTAACAGAGTGGTTGATGGACATATACTCCTTCAATAGTGCTTCAGTTTCCTAGTATGTTAGGTTTATCCTACTTGTTGCATAGGCTTGTGGCAAGTGAGATAAATATATATTAGCAAAAGTAATTGTTACTTGGTCATGTGACATAGTAGTCACATGTAGTCCTGTAGTCCTAACTATTCAGAAGGCTGAGGCAGGAAGATCCCTTGAGCTCAGTAAATCTGGGCTGGTAGTATGTGGTTTTGTGTGTCAATTTGACACAAGCTATAGAGTCATATAGGAAGGAGCCTCAGCTGAGGAAATGCCTCCTTGAAATCCAACTGTAAGGTGTTTTCTCATTTAGTGATTAATGGGGGAGAGCCCAGCCCGTGGTGGGTGGTGTTATTCCTGGGCTGCTGGTCCTGGGTTCTATAAGAAAGCAAGCTGAGCAAGCCAGGGGAAGCGAGGCAGAGAGCAAACCCCTCCGTGGCCTGTGCATCAGCTCCTGCCTCCAGGATCTTGCCCTAACTCCCTTCAGTGATAAATAACAATGCTAAAGTGTAAGCCTAATAAACCCTTTCCTCCCCAACTTGTGTTTTTGGTCATGGTGTTTTGTCACAGCAATAGAAACCCTGACTGAGACAGGGCCAGACTGGGTAACATACCAAGACCCATCTTCAAAACAAAACAAATACAACAACAACAAAAACTCTTATTTTCCCCGCCCTTGGGAGTTAGAGGACTGAGATCAGTTCAAGGTCATCCTTAGGTGGTCGCACAGGGTGAACACATAGGGTATTGAAGTCCAGCCTGAACTACAAAGGACTCAGCGTTCAAAAAGCAAAAACAACAGTTGTTACTCTGTAAGAAAACTAAGGCTCATGCTTGAGGCTGGAGGATTACCATGAGTCTGAAGGTAGCGTAGGAAGAACTTGTCTGAAAATTTTCCTATTAAAGAGGGAAAGGAAAGATTGAGAGAAGAGAGACTGACAATCAGAAACCGAGTAGGGATGTTAAGGATGAGATTAAAAATTCTCTTTTTTTGCCTATTCTGTTTATTAATCTCAGTTGCTTCTTCTAAAATCAATGTCTAGGAGTTGTATATAGGAAACCTTGATCCTTGGAAACTGTGGGCCTACTTATCATTTAGAGTTTTACATATTAAGGCCAAGGGACTGAAGTATTTATAATCTCTACTGTAAAATGAAGGGAGGCACAGAAAAGCCCTAGTAATTTAGAGAATCATAGTGTCATTGATTTTATTCCTGAGCTCATGCCAAATGTGAGCTGTCTTGGTTTTTTCTTAGTTCAGTAAGTCTCCATGACCACAAGCAAGTTGGAGATGAAGGGATCTGTTTGGCTGAGGAGTTACAGTCCATCATCAGGGAAAACCAAGGCAGGAACTGAAGCCATTGCTCCCCCTGACTTGGTCAGCCTACTTTCCCATACAACCCAGGACCATCTGAGGAGGGGTAGTACTTTCCACAGTGGGCTGGGTCCTCCCACTAATCAAGACAGTGCCTCACAGACTTGCCCACAGGTTAATCTGATGGAAGCATTTCTTTAGTTGAGGTTCCCTCTTCCAGATGATTCTAGGTTATGTCAAGTTAACAAAGCAATCAAAACACACACAGAGAACAAAAACATAACTAACCAGCGCAGTAATAAAATTCAATTTTGAATGTTACCTTTTTGCCTTTATATAGATGTAGGTCCAGCACACCATGTATCTTCATTGTATAGGTAGAAGGGTCCAGGTAATCAGTAGCCATGCTGATTGAGCCTGGTTCATGGGCACTGGTACTGAATTGAACATTTCCCCTTCAAGAGATGCTGCAGATTGACAGGCTTACTTTCCTATATTTAAGGAGACGTCTTTTGCTTTTTCTGATTAATATTTCTACTTTGTTTTAGGCTACCGTCAAGAAACAATGAGTTTAAAACCGTTCACCTACCCTTTTCCAGAGACAAGGTTCCTTCATGCAGGACCCAATGTGTATAAGTTCAAAATCAGATATGGTGACAGTATCAGGTAATTTGAAAGGTGGGAGATAGCTCATGCTAGCACAGGCAAGTGAATTCCTCCAGGTCCTCATCTCACCCAGTCCAGGGGAGTGACCGCAATAGCACCTGGTCAGGCCTTCCCAGATGCTTAGTCTTCATTATATTCACTATTGATAGAATTTCCTAAAGTAGGATCAATGGGGCTTTGAGGAGATATTTCTCAGAATTTTTTCAGCTTGACCTTGTCTCAAAACAATAAAGAAAGAGAGAGAGAATTGTAAATAGGTCTGGAGAAATTACTTGTCAGTTAATGTAGTTGCAGGCTGTTCTTTTGTTTCCCGACTGCCCAGACCAGAAATAATCACACAGAAACTGTATTATTACAATACTGCTTGGCCTATTAGCTCACATTTCTAGCTCTTATATCTTAAATTAACCCATTTCTATTCATCTGTGTATCGCCACATGGTTGAAGCCTCCTGGTAAGGTTCTGTCCGGCGTCTGACATCAGGCATCTGTCTCTTGTCCAGTTACATGGCTTCTCTCTGACTCCACTTACTCTCTCCTCCTCTATCTGCTTAGAATCCCTGCTTTGCCCTATTCTGCACTGCAGTAGGCCCAAAGAAGATTCTTTATTAACCAGTGGTATTCACAGCATACAGAAGGGAATGCCACATTAAGTTAAGAGCACTGACTTCTCTTCCAGATTCAGGTTCTGTTCTGTGAACCTATGTGGTGGCTTCTCTGCAACTTTAGTTCCAGTGGATTGATGGCCTTCTGGCCTAGCCTCCACATACATACAAGCAAAGTGCCCATATACATAAAATAGGCCCTGAGAGATGATGCAGCAGTTGAGAGTGTGTATTATTCTCCCAAAGGACCAGAATAAGATTTCCAGAACCCAGACGGACAGTGGTGGTGCAGACCTTTAATCTCAGCACTTGGGAAGCAGAGGCAGGTGGATCTCTTGAGTTTTGAGTTTAAAGCCAGTCTGGCCTACAAAGAGAGTTGTAGAACAGTTAGAGCCATTAAATAGAGAAACCCTGTCTTGGGGGGAAAAAAGATAATTTTTTTTCAAAATTCTCTCTCAAAAGCCCAAAACTTAATATTGATAACAAATACTGCCAATTGTTTTCCTTGATTTAACATGCTTGCTTTATTTATTTTTGAGAAAATATATGTTCACCTCACAGAGCTGAATAGCAGACAATTTGTTTATCAGCTAATTATTCAAGTAAAATATTATTGCATGAAAAGAGCAACTCATTCAGTTTGCAACTTAAAGTGTCACACAAGTACATTTCCTCAGGGCATGTTTGTTGTTGGGGTTTGGTTTGGTTTGGTTTTTTTTATTTTTCGAGACAGGGTTTTTCTGTGTAGCTTTGGAACCTGTCCTGGAACTCACTCTATAGACCAGGCTGGCCTCAAACTCACAGAGATCCGCCTGCCTCTGCATCCCGGGTGCTGGGATTAAAGGTGTGCACCACCACTGCCTGGTTAGTGCTTTTTGTTTTGCTGTGTACTGAATCAGTGTTCTCTAGAGGAACAGAGCTTAGGGAATGAAACCACATGTGTGCGTGCACACACACACACACACACACACACACACACGCGCACACACTTATATATATGAATGAAGAGGATTTGTTAGAATGGCTTACAGGATGTGGTCCAGCTAGCAAACAATGGCTGTCTACCAATGGAATGCCAGTAAAGGAATGAACTTGACAGCAAAAATGGGAGTAAGCAAGCAAAGAGAACAAGCTTCCTTTTCCATGTCTTTTATATAGGCTGACAGTGGAAGGTGTGGCCCAAATTAAAGTATATCTTCCCACCTCTAAAGATCTGGATTAAAAGTGGGTTTTCCCACTTGAAATGACTTAATTAAGAAAAATTCCTCACAGATGTACCTGCCCACTTGGGCTTTGATTAATTTCAGATGTAGTCAAGCTAACAACCAAGAATAGCCATCACACATACTTTAAAAGAAAACAGTAATGGGAGACTAGAGATATGGTTCAGTGGGTAAGAGCATTGGCTGCTCTTCCACAGGACCAGGGTTCAATTACCAGCACCCACAATCAACTGTAATTCAAACCTAAGGAAATCTCATGTCCTCTTCCCATATGTGGTCACTTCTCACATGTGATGCATAGAATACATGAAGGCAGAACACCTATACACGTAGAATAAAAACTAGGGAAAAAAATGTAAGTTAAAGAAATTTAAGATATAATGATGAAACCTAGAGCAATGGTATACTTCTTAAATTCTAGCATTTTGGAGGCAGAAACAGGCAGATCTCTGTGAGTTTGAGGCCAGCCTGGTCTACAGAGTGAGTTCGTGGATAGCCAGAGCCACAATGAGACCCTGTCTTAGGGAAAGACAAAGAAATATCTCCTGAAATCTTGTAAAATTTTATATTTCTATTTATCAGTTAAAACTATTTTGTTTTTGAGACAGGGTTTTTGTAGCTCAGACCAGCTTCATTTACTGTGTAGCTGAGTCTAGTCTTGAATTCCTGATCCATCTACCTCCACCTCTCAGGTACTGGGATTACAGACATTTGCCACAGTGCTTGGCAGTTCCAATGAATTTAAATAGTGGGCTTAAAGTGTGGCTCAGTGGTAGGATATTTGCACTGGATATACTACAAAGCCCAGGTTCAGTGCTCTGAGCCCCTCCAATTTAGTAGACTTTTAAAAATATGCTCTAAAAAATTATTAACCATCACAACAGATATATAAGGTCTTGGAAATTTAACAGGGAAGACTCGGGGGAGGGGTAACTAATGCTCAAACCACTCCCCAATGTAAGGCAAGCAATGGATCAACCAGACTGTAATTTATCTGGTGTCTTTAGCGCCACAAAGCAGATGCTGAACAGGGGTTGTTGTCTTATGGTGCCTGTCTGTTTACCTTCTAGAGAAGAAGAAATAGTGGACAAGGAAGTCATCATCCAGGAACTGGAGGTAGGAAAAAAAATCGGACAACTTCTGAAGAAAGTATTTACTCCTTAAGCCAAGGATGTCCATACCTAGGCTTCTATTGTTCCTTCATACTGAGTCTCAAACTCCACCTGGTAAACTGCTGTCTCCATGCAAAGAAGCCACTTTTTTCAGGAAATTTTAAAGCCGTATTTTTTTTCAATTCTTGCTAAAGTATGAGCGCCTTTGAGACTGGTTATTGTTTGTTTCCACAAGGGTTCCCAGACAGGGCAGCTCTGTTGTGGCAGTTGGCACAGAGGAGCTTCCGGAGGACTGGTGCCTTCCAGGGCTCTGGGAATGCCACGATCCCAACCACCGCCTGGTGTTTGACGTTCAGGAAACTGGGCAGTAAATACACTGACAAGTGGCTGTGTCTTCATTTAAATTGGAAACATTTGCCATTGCTTTGTTCCAAGTTCATGTTCATTCCTTTTCTGCACAGCTCTGCTTGTTAGAGATTTCCAGAAAGAAAATTTTTGAGCAGGGATACAGCTTTGTAAACTAAACTGGTGAAAGCATTGGGTCAGCAGTTGTAGTTCTGGGGCCCAGTCCAGTATCCCAGTCTGTCCCTTCACTTGTCAAATAAAGTTAACTTGTTTCCAAGATTACGGTTTGGATTTCAAATACGTGTGTTCAATGCCTGCCACATATCCAGGCTAGAAAACATTTTCATACATTTATGTGCATATTAAGGTTCAAAAGCTGCTTTTTTGTTTATTTGTTTTTGTTTTTGTCTTACTTTATATACATGGTCTCACTATATATTACTGCCTGGCCTAGAAAGTGTGTAGAGCAAACTGACTTTGAACTTTCAGAGATCCTTCTTCCTTTTCATCCTAAGTACTAGGATTGCATGAGCCTCTACCATTGATCCTTTGCATGCATTTGTGGGTGAGTGCATGTGTGTTTCATTTTTTTTCAGCAAAGTCTCATAAATCCCAGGCTGTCCTATGTATCTGAGTATGTCCTTGACTTCTGATCCTCCTGTCTGGGATTATGGTGTACATCACCAAACCTAGTTTATACAGTGCTAGAGATTGAATTTAGAACTTCATGCATATTAAATAATGACTCTACCATCTAAGTTGCATCCCCAACTCTATTTTCAATTTTTATTATTATTTTATGAATATGGATACTTTGTCTGCATGTATATCTGTGTACCATGTGTGTATGTCATGTGTCCAAAAGGGCCAAAAGAGGGCATTGGATCCCTTGGAACTAGAATTATAGATGGTTGTGAGCCACCATATGGTGATGGGAATGGAACTCTGTTCCTCTGGAAGAACAGTCAGAACTCTAAACCCCTGAACCATTTATCTGGTCCCTTTTCTTGATTTCTGAGACAGGGTCTTATTTGGTAATAGCCGTTGCTAGATTGGTACTTGTCATGAAGCCCAGACATAACCTGGAACTAATGGCAGTTCTCCTGCTTCAGCTTTCCAAGTGCTGGGATTAAAGGCATATACCATCATTCCCAGATACAAAGATTTTTGTTGTTGTTGTTGTTGTTTTAGTATTTGAGACAGGGTTTCTCTGTGTAACAGTCCTAGCTGTCCTGAAACTGGCTCTCTAGACCAGGCTGGCCTCAAACTCACAGAGATCTGCCTGCTTCAGCCTCCCAACTGCTGGGATGCACTGGCAGATCCATAATATTTTTTTAAAAAAAATTTCTTGAGGCAAGTCCTCACTATAAAGCCTAGGTTAACCATGAATTCATAGTCCTCCTTCTACCTTAGCCTCCCAAGTGCTGTGGGTATGTGCCACCATATCTAGCAGCAAAACATGTTTTATATGTTTTCCTTCATTGTTACAAATTGTATTTATTTATTTTATGTGCGTGGATGTTTTGCCTGCATGCATGTCTGTGCAACACCCATGTGCCCAGTGTTTGCAGTGGCAGAAGAGGGTGTTGGATCCCTTGGAACTAGAATTACAGGTTGTGAGCAGCCACGAGAGTTCTGGAAATCAAACCAGGGTCCTCTAGAAGCCCGTGCTCTTTGCCACTGAGCCATCTCTCCTGCTCTGCTTGTTTTCTCTCATTTCTTACTAGTTTCAGGGACAATGCTATCATTCTCTTTTATTCCCTTAGAAAATATTAATTGAGAATTAGTGTAGCCTAATGATTCAAAATATCAGCTCTAGAGGCTGGAAAAGTACCTACCACAAAAGCATGCGGACCTGAATTCAGATCCTCAGCACCCATAAAAAGTGTTTTGCCTGCATATGTATCTGTGCACTATGAGTACCCATGGAGGCCAGAAGAGATGGTGAAGCCCCTGGAACTGGAATGAAAACAGATGGTTGTGAGCCACCACGTGGGTGCTGAGAACTGAAACTGGGCCCTGTGGAAGAATAGCGAATGCGCTTACCACTGAGCCATCTGTCTAGCCCTACCTCTCTAAATAATTTTTGTTTGTTTCTTTGTTTTGATACTACAATCAATCTCTTAACATTTTTTTAATTAAAAAATAATATAAATCTGGGTATAGTGGCTGATCTCTATAGTGGTAGATCTCTGTGAGTTCGAGGCTAACCTTATCTACATAGTGAGTTGCAGGCCAGTGAGTGCTACACAGTGAGACCCTGCCTCAAAAAAAAAGCAACAACAAACATCATATGTTTTAAAAAGAGTAGAAGATATAAATGGAAAGATTAGCTGAGCTTCAGCAGTATTAAAATAACTTTAAGTATCTTTTTCAGGATTCTATCCGTGCAGTCTTGGCAAACATGGACAGCCTGCAGCCCTTTGTTACAGAACACTTCACTGTATTTCCCTATATCCTTTCTTTCCTGGTGTCTTATTTTTCCCAAGAAAAGTGGGTTTGTGTTTAAGATAGGCCCTATCTCGTGGAATGCAGACTGGCCTTAAAATCACTATGTAAAACACTATGCCTGACATTTGGATTTTTGAGGTAGTTAACCATGGCTGGTCTTACTAGGTTGCCATGACTGGCCTACTACTCAGTATATTGTCAAGGGTAGCATGGAATTCACAGTAATTCTTCTGCCTCGGGCTCCTGAGTATTGTGATTGGAGGCATGCAGCATCACATTTGGCTTTTCCCAGCTGCTAATGAGCTACAAGTCACAGCATAGATTTCAGTGGAAGCAGTGAGACCAAAGGCAGTTTGAAGGGTAGGTCAGAGAAAGGAGAGCTAGAACCTCAGCTTTCAACTAGTTACCAGGAACACATGCTGTCCTCCTTTCTCGTCTCCTTAGCACCATCCTCAGATAAAAGCAAGTGGGAGAGAGTTTCCCACCTGAAATTTAAACACGGAGAAATCATCTTGACTCCCTACCCATTTGTTTTTACTCTGTATGTCGAGATGAAATGGTTTACTGGAAATATGCCTACAGGTAAGTAGTGATGAGAACAAGTGGTAGAAGAGGGAATAGGCAGGAGGGTGAGCTGTCTGTCCCACCAGGCTCTGACAGGACAGAGCTCTGAAGCATTTCCTCCAAACTTGGCACTATGATAAGTTATTTAATCTTCCTGCATCTCTTTCATTAAATGGCGAAGAGACACTAATTTTCAGGGTTTGTATGTATAAGTATTGGCAGATGGGAATACATAGGCTGGCTCAGTGAGAGAAACCTATGCAAACACTTTGTTTTTATTTCTGATTGAGGGTTTCACTATGTAGCCCTGGCTGCCCTGAAGCTCACTGTATAGACTAGGCTGGCCTTGAACTCACAATGATCCACCTGCTTCTGCCTCCTGAGTATGGTGATTAAAAGCCATGCCAGTCCTTCTCTGATATTTCCCAGTTATTAATCTCCAAGTTATTAATCTCCAAGAGATAAGGTTATTTTTACTAAAAAGCAAATAAATACCTGCTAGTTTAATTTTAAAAGTACAAAAGAAGGCTGAAGAGATGGTTCAGTGGGTAATAATGTTTGTTACACAAGCACAAGGGCCTCAATTTCAATCCCTATTGCCTGTGGCTGTGCAGACCTGTAACCCTGACCTTGGCGGGGTTGATATAAACAGGCAGATCCTGCGAGCTCACTGGCTGGCCAGCCTATCAGAAGTGCTGAGTTTCTGATTCGTGAGAGATACGGCCTCAAGGGAATTAGATGGAGAAAAAAAAACGTAAGAAACCCAGTTTGTCAGGCAGTAGACCCATCCTCTTTTGAAGCACATACTAAAGTATGGCATAAATCAACTCCACTTCAGCTTGAAGGTGGCAGTTGTTCTGGAGGGTAGGACAGAATCTCAAGACACTATGTAGGGAAAATGGTTCCAGGCAGAAGAGGAAAAGACTCAAGCAGAAGTTTTGTCTTGATCCATTATGATGTTCAATTTCCCATTGTAGGAAAACCAGCAGATGGTAGTCCTCTTGAGCTGGTAAGTTTGTTCTTTCTTTCTTTTTTTCCTTTTTTTTTTTTTTTTTTTTTTTTTTTTTTTTTTGCTTTTTCAAGACAGAGTTTCTCTGTAGCTTTAAGCCTGTCCTAGAACTAGCTCCTGTAGACCAGGCTGTCCTCAAACTCACAGAGATCCTCCTGCCTCTGCCTCCCAAGTGCTGGGATTAAAGACGTGCGCCACCACTGCCCACCTGGCTAGTTTGTTTGTTTGAGATAGAGTTTCTCTGTGTAACAGTCCAGACTGTCCTGGAACTTGCTCTGTAGACTCAGAGATCCACATGCCTCCTGAGTGCTGGGATTAAGGTTGTGCACCACCATACCCAGCAATATTGAATTTCTATATAAAATGAAAATTGCCTTTCTTGCCTCAAAAGTGCTGCTCTTGTCTCTTCTGCCTTTGCCCCTCACGTGCTGCTCAGGTCCCATCCCAACTGTAAATATGAGACCATGTCTCCCTTCATCTAGATTTGAGGGGAGATATCTCTGGCAGAATGTCTTGCTGAGGTGGAAGTATTACAAATTGCCTTTGGTTGGCAGTCCTCTGTGTTGGGCCTTTCTAAACCGTGAGCCACTCTAGAAAATGTGGGTTCACAGGAATCTTGTTTCCTTCCTGAAGGACCTAGCTGAGGAGAAAGCAGAAGAAACCACAATGCGGAAACGAAAATTTGTGGAGGAGCCCAGCTCCCCTAGCAGGCCAAGACCACACAGGTCAGTGGTATAGTGAGGCTTTGCCACCTATTGCTATTTGTTGATTTTGCCCTTGGGCAGTTGCTTGATTTGCAGGCAGGTGGACTTATGGCTCACTGGCAGGTCAGCCTTGCCAAGCTATTGGCAAGCTCTAGGCCAATAAAAGACCCTGTCTCCAACAAAAAGCAAACAACACTTGGGAAAGAGCCCTGGAGGTTGTCTTTCGCCCTCCACACCAGTGTACATGTGTGTGTATTAATACCCTGTTAATACATAAACATGCACATACAGAAAACTTTGAAAGAATTAGAACAAATAAAATAGAATTCTGTTTTATCCCATGAGCAACTGGGTAAAATGTAAAATGTATGCAATATACTGTGCGTGTGGTGGTGCACACCTGTAAACACAGTCTTCAGGAAGCAGAAGCAGTGGAGTCACTGCAAGAGGCCAGCCAAGGATGCTAGTGAGATCTTGTCTTAAAAGAAAATGTAATGTGCATGAGTTGTTAGGGGGAATGCTAAGCATATCCCAGCACGCGGAAGGTGCTGTTATAGAGGCTACTTGTGTACTTTTGATCCTCTGTCAAAGGAAGAATTAGTCAATAAGACAATTTAGTCATTCTTGGCATCCCAGAGAGAAGCCACCTGGAATAGTCCACGATGCAGTTTGCTCCCCAGCCCAAGGGTGCTTTTGTGCCAAGGTCTCCTAGGGCCTGAGACCCTTAGACGTAGACATAGTGAAGATGGACTAGGAAGGGGTGACCCTGTGGGTTCAGGTGATGTGTCAGTGACAAGCCATGTGGAATGTGAGCACATCTGAGGCGTAAGACTTGGTTTGATTTTATTTAACTAATTTTCCCACAGCAATGAGGCCTCAAGTCTCCCTGGGTTTTGATGCATAGCTAAATATTTCATAGTCTGATATCTCTGTCAATCACATTTTTTGTTTCTCAAACATGTCCTTAAATGTCTCCAATTGGAATTCTATTGTGAATTAAAGCAACCAAAGAAATTTTTGCCACACAATTTTTCCTGCCAGCCAGGAGTAGTATAAAAATAGCCAACTTGCTGAAATATTCATTTGGACTACATTTGCTTGAAAGTGGTGATGTTGCCATAACCAATGACATTTCCTGGGCTCTCCTCCCCCACTTCAGGGCCAAGATAGAGACTTCTAGTGAAGCCTTCAGTAATCAGAAGCCCCTGAAGGAAACCAAGAGGGTAAGCATCAAGTTGAAGGCTGTGAGGTTCTTGATGGCTCCTTTGTTAGAGGCTGGGATTCCTGTTACATGCTCCGCTTGGTCCTTGCTACAGATTGAACTGACTAAACTCATTCTTGGATTTAATGACGTCCAACTATTCTGTCCTTGTCACAGTCTATCCCTAAAGTGGTTGTATAATGCACATACCCATGGATCTTTTCACATTGTCTTCTCAAGTTAAAAACTGCTTGTGTTCTATAATTTAAAATAGGTCTGTATTGAATGAGTGTGAAATCCATTATAGAAGAATCCTCACTGTAGAAAACTTTTGCCTTAGTTTACAGTGGAGTCTGAGTCTGGTGTGTGTCTAGTTTTAGCAGATGAGATGGGCAAGTATCAGCACTAGAAGTTGTTAAGGAGTAGTAGCACACACCTTAAGTCCAGTGCTCGGGCCAAGACAGTGAGATGGCTACAAGTTTGAGGCCAGCCTGACTTCACTATAAGTTTTAGGTCAGACAGATTTGTGGAGTGAGACATTGTCTAAAAAGAAATAAGACAGGGAAGCTGTAGAAGCTAGAGGGGTGTTGGGAAGTGATGTCGTCCAGGCCTGACTAGTCAGTCATTCACAGTCTCTCAGCAGCAGTGGTATCTGAATCAAACCTGGACAAGACCTAGCCAGTCATCATTCCTTCATGGACCAGGAAGGGCACATGAAGCTCAGCCCCTAACTAAGGTGCCAGCAGTTCATGAACTGCTGGAGGACAGGGGAATCGTTTTATGCAGGAATGTAGCTACTGGTAAGCTGCCCAATATCCAGTAAATAATCCTACACCTATATACGTGCAAGCAACCCTAATTAAGTTGTGGGTTCTAGAGAAAGAAAAACATGGCAGGAGGAGGGGGATGTGCTGGGAAGAAAGGCTGCAGAGCGAGGAGAAGGAGGGTAAGAGAGTGGAGTGGGGAGTAAAGATGATCTAAATATATTATTTATTTTACATTTATGGAGTTGTGAAAGAATAAATTTTAAATTATTTTGTAGAAAAAAATGGAGGAAGCTAGACATGGTGGCACATGCCTTTAATCTTGGCACTTAGGAGTCTGACAGATTCTGAATTCTCTTGAGTTCACAGTCCTCCTGTTCTACACAGAGAGTTCCAGGCCAGACCTAGTCTTTAAAGAAATAAACAAACAGGGAGATGGCTCAGCCCTTAGGAGCATTTGCGGCTCTTGCAGAAGATCTGAGTTTAGTTCCCAGTATCCATGTTGGGCAACTCACAACTGCCCGTAACTCCAGCTCCAGGAGATCCAACACCCTTTTCTGGCTTCTGTGGATACCTTCACACGTGTGCATGCACGCACGCGCACACACATGTAAATAATTTTTTTAACTAAAAACCAAAAACAAATAGCCAGTGAGATGGCTCATTTGACAAAATCACCTGCCGCCAAGTCTAATGAGTTCACTCCTCTCCTGAGGACCACATAGTGGAAGGAGGAACTGACTCATATAGGGTGCTCTGACTTCTGTGTGCACGCCATGACACGAGCACACCTTCAGGCACCTCACACTCACATATCTACGTATGGAGACATTGTAAATGTTGTTAGGCCAGGGCGTGAGTGCTCATGCCTTAATTCTAGCACTAGTGAGGCAGAGACACACAGATCACTGAGTTCAAGGTCAGCCAGGGCTACATAGACTTTGCTCATACCCCCCATAAAGTAATTAAAAAGGCTAGAGAGATGGGTTAGTGGTTAATATCATATACTGCTCTTTAGAGGTTATGAGTTCAATTCCCAGCATTCAGGTTAGGCATCTCACAATTGCCTCCAACTCCAGAAGGATCTTTTCTGCCAACAGAGGCCTCTTTCTTCTGTTGGTACTTCACTTACATGTACATATTCACACACATATACATAATTTAAAATAAAGTAAATCAATTAAAACATAAGAACAGCTGGGCAGTGGTGGTGCACACCTTTAATCCCAGCACTCGAGAGGCAGAGGCAAGTGGATCTCTATGAGTTCGAGGCCAACCTGGTCTACAGAGCAAGTACCAGGATAGCCAGGGCTACACAGAGAAACCCTGTCTGTCTCAAAAAACAGAAAAAACAAACAAACAAGCAAAAGCCAACCAAACAAAAAAGGAGCAAAGCCTCTAGAACAGTGACAGACTGTCCCAGTGATTTTTTTGTTTGTGTTGTTTTGTTTGTTTTGTTTGTGTTGTGTTGTATTGATATGATTTTATTGATTTATGGGTCTGTTCTTTTATTTTAATGTTCATATACTGGCTACTTCCTCATTGTAAATCTCCTTTACAATATTTGTCTTCAAAGCTTCACGGTTTTTTCCTCTACTAGTCACCCCTTCACCTTCCCAGGTCCACAGCACGATCAGTTAAGGAGCAAGGATCTACCATGTGCATTCATTCAAGACACCGCGTTCTGTGTTTCCCATGTGCCAAGTACTTGGGCTGTCAGCTTCTAAAGCCGCCAGGAATGTCAGACCAGACAGTCAAGATAGTTGTGCTGTGTACAGGAAGCACTGGGTACCTGGTGGATACAAAGCGGTCATGAGGAAAGAGTTCCCTGGGGAGGTTGAGGCCTTTGAAGAACTTAGCCAGGAGGAAAGAGTGTGATGCTTTTCATGCCTGCAGGCCAGTGCATCCAGAACTTAGTGCTGAGAAATGTCACTGGACAGATCAGTGTGGGCTAGACAGTGATAGGCCTTATGTCCACCAGGATCACAGGAATTTACCTAAAATATTTTTAAGTGAAGTAATAAAGCAAGGGGCTGGAGAGTGGCTCAGCATTAGGAGCGCTAGCTGCCCTTCCAGAGGACCCAGGTTGAATTCCCAGCACTCACATGGCAGCTCACAACTGTCTATAAACTCCAGTTCCTGGAGATCTGACACCAATGCACATAAAATAAAATTAATTATTAAAAAAAAGGTAAAGAAGTAATTTCATTTCCAGTCCACCATTTTGCTAGCATGTTGTGTGCTTATTCTAGGAGTTTATCAGTTACTTGACCGTGCCCTTGGGATCTAGATTTCTACCTCTGGAAAGAAGGTTAGAAGATGGGGCTCCAGTTTTGTGTCACAACCCCACAGCCCACTGAGGTTTTAGGTAGAAAGCTGTCTCCTGTGCTCCCAGCCTTTGGAGCGGCAAAAAGAGAAATGAGAAAGAATAAGAGGGTACATGAAGCTCTGGAGAACAAAGCTCTACACAGCGAGATAATTGCTGTAAGGGAGCATTTCCCTGCACTATCCTCTGTACCTTCCTATTCTTAGTTTGACACATCATCTCCCGCAAGAACAGAACCCACAGCTTCTTACTCAACATAATTACCTTTTCAACCTGATTCTGGGCTTAGAGAAAAGCTGAGCAAAAGGAGCATGTTTATTGATTTTGACTCAACACCCAAAGACAGCCTCCTTCACAGACTCTGTTCCCAGGGAGAAGATTTCTCCTAAATTAAGGTAATCACAGAGACTCTCAGTGCCAGTCACTTGAGCTGGAAAAATTGAATTTGCTCTCATGGTTCAGTGCTTGGCACCCCACCCCTTTGTGGGAAATTTGGGTACAGGACCACATACATCACGGGGGTGGGGAGGGGTTGCACATGTCTGAACACATTTGAAAAGTTTGCAGGGAACTTAGAATACAATACTTGTCTCATAAGAGATGTTTGGGGAAGAATAAGGAAGAGAAGACCTTTTCTTTTTGATCTTTCAGGTCCCAGACCTAGAAACCCAGACTACGAAAAGATTAAAAGACAGGAGAGTGCAGATAAATGACCCTGATGTGGACCAGACTGCTCATAGTGTGTTCCCCACTTCTAAGCAGAACTGGCTCTTAAGAGTTAGTGCCATTCAAGGTGTGACACCCGCTGGCTGTCTCCAGTGGCACCACAGTCTCAGCTGTCTTTCCTCCCTTACAGCTTGTTCCTTCAAGGGAAGCTACCCTTGTAAGAGCAGTCTCCTTACTTCTGGGTTGACCATTGCCCTCTGATCCCTTATATCCAGCCCTCATGGATACTGCTCTCTTTGGTCATCTCTGCAGCAAGATTTAACTCCAAAATCATAGTTTCCTTAAATTTATAGGAATTATCCTTTTGCCAGGTGGTGGTGGCGCACACCTTTAATCCCAGCACTCAGGAGGCAGATTTCCATGAGTTTGAGTTCAGCCTGGTCTTCAGAACAAGTTCCAGAACAGGCTCCAAAGCTACAAAGAAACCCTGTCTCGGCAGGAGGAGGGGTGTAAAAAGAATTTTTCTTCATGCTTTCATGAAACTAGACCTAGGTCTTCTAAATCCTTCCTTTCTCTCTAGAGGGTAAGAATGGTTTTCTTCCTCCCTTTAGCTCTTTCTCACCTGTATAGGAATATGAGCCTGGGCCTGCCCACTACAGACCTCCATCTGAAGTGTTTATGAGGAAGCTCATCTCAGAAAGATCTTCCATTCTGACTTGAAAGTTATGCTTAGAATTGGGGTCAGAGCTGACTTCCTCAGTACTTATCGTAACTCTGCCTCTCCAGCCACCCTGTACAAATTCTTCACCAGAAACACAGCCTAAATAGCATACGTGCTGCTGTGCAATCAGGTGCACAGACTTTGCTGGGTGAGGACAAGCCAACTGGCAGATATTCCCAAGAAAATGTATGCCTGTGTTTCTGACCATCAGAATGTTTACTAGAAATGCAGACCTGGAACCAGGTTGTAGGATATCTTCTTCAACAGATGAAGGAATTTCTACCAAGCAGTGACACACAGAGAGATAGAAGATCACACTATGTTATACTGGCTGTTCAGCTGTCCTGTTTTCACCATGCCTGACTCTAGCTATGCTGATTGTATTTACTCAGTAATGGCACTGTGCCCTTTTCATCATGTCTCTGTCCGGAAAGCCCTGCTCTTCCTGATCCTGACCAGTTCCTCACCCCAATTATGACAAAATCCCATCCATCCATCAGAGCTCCATCCAAATGTAACTTCCCCTGCGGAACCTTCCTTCACAACTACCACCCATTTTGCAGTCATAGCACTACAGACTCGTAGAGAGCCTTATCACACTGGCTTGTAGGATAGTCTTGCCCCATGAACTCTACGTGTCTCCAAAATGATGCACTCAGCAATAAGGATGGAGAGGCAAGCCCAGGTGGCTTGTTCTGAGCTCCTGCAGCATATGATTTTAGAGGGACAGGGACTATGTTAGGAAGCTGGAGTAAACAAGAGCAGTCCTACAGAAGGCATCTGCAAGGCCATCAGAAGCCAGTAGCCCCCTGATTACAGACCTTTTAGGATGAAGCTAATATTTTATCCTTGGCATTTTTTAGGTCTCAGGTTTTTATTTTTGTGCAGGCTACTTATGAAAAAGGTTGATCTTGTTACTGTTGTTCCCCTGGAGCTCAAACCCAGGACCTACTGCGTGTAAAGCAGACATGATAACTGCTGCACCACAGAACCCTCAAGCCTTTTCCCCCACTTTTTAAACAGAACAGGGAAGGAGAAATCCAGCAAGAATATCAGGATGCCCCAGTTTCTGATGCCACTGATGTCCAGGAACAGGGTAGGTTTAGGTGGATTCTTGTTTGGTGGGTGGTTTTGTTCTTTGAGACAGGCTCTTGTGGTAGAGCCCAGGCTGGCCTCTAACTCTCGAACCTTCTGTTCACTGAGATCATAGGCTAGGAGCTACTGTGCCCAGCTTCCCCTTGCTTCTGACAGTGAACTCATAGTCCAGCAATTCCAAAACATTTCCTAACTGAGTAGGAGGGCTCGAAGGGAAGTTGGAAGGGATGTGGTTTGCTCTTCTGTGGGGTTGAAGAACTGTTTCTGGGAAGTACTTTGTCTTCTTCCCCTGGGGCATCAGCATTAAGACTGAAGGTGCAAAGACTGGAACTGGAGCTCAGTTGGTGGAATTCTTGCCTCACTTGCACAGAACCCTGGGAACAATCCCCAGTGCCTTACAAAACCAGGCAAGGTGCATCCCTGCCATTCTAGAACTCCAGTGCTTTGCTGCATAGCTGACCTGGGCCACATAAAACCAGAAAAGTGAAGGTATGGACAGGTGCTCTGCCAGGCCTTTGAATGCCCAATGAGGCATGCCCTTCCAGCTTTCTTTTTTTTTTAAAGATTTGTTTGTTTGTTTGTTTGTTATGTATACAGTGTTAGTTTCCATGTCTGCCTACATGCCAGAAGAGGGCATCAGATCTCATTATAGATGGTTGTGAGCCACCATGTGGTTGCTGGGAATTGAACTCAGGACCTCTGGAAGAATAATCAGCATTCTTAACCTGTGAGCCATCTCTCCAGCCCCCTTCCAGCTTTCTTATCTGTTACTCAGCACAAGGACTTGGAGTGGGGTGCAGTTAGCCAGATGCAGGTTATAAGCATGTGAATTATTGGACAAGTTGTGGTTTCTTGTGGAAACATGTCAGCTCTGGTGGATGGCTGAGACTTGAGATATGTAAATATCTCAAGCCTGACTTTGAAAATACACAAAGACAGAACAGAATTTTACTGAGCTGATATGAAATTGGAAAGGTCAGAGCAAACATTTCCCCTGGCTCTAAATAAATCTTGCTGTGTGAGGCTGCCCTGTTCTCTCAGTTCACAGAGCCTCTGGGCCAGTCTCTTTTCCCTGTCTGCCTGTTTCCCTTACAGATTCTAAGTTGGAGCATAGCCTGCCAGGGCTGGTTGTTCCTCCCCTGCAACATAGCAACCCACCACCATCCAAAGAACCAGGATCCAGTGGCTTCTTTGGGTTCCTAAGGTAAAACAGGGTTTTTTTAATTATTATTATTATTATTATTATTATTATTATTATTATTTGCCTTTAAGCTGAAAAGCAGTCTCAGTCTCTAGGTCCAATTGCTTCATTGAGTCTTGGGGAGGGAAAGACTAGCGAAGAAGTAGATTCTTTACGGAGATTTCTCAATTGTATCAAAGATAGATGGTGGAAATGAAATAGAAAACAAGGGCCCTAATTCAAAAGAATGCTTTTTTTTTTTGAGGCAAGGTCTCCCTGTGTAACCCTGACTGGCTTGCAACTCACTGTGTAGATCATGCTGTCCTGCCCTTGAACTAAGAGATCCTCCTGCCTCTGCCTCCAGAGTGCTGAGATTAAAGATGTGCACCATCACACCAGGTTTCTTCCTTTTGAGACAGGGTCTCAAAATAAGCTTGGGCTGCTGTGCTCTTGGTTCATGTGTACAGTTCTTTCCGCTCTAAGGTGCCCTCCCAAGCCTGTTTCACAAATGTTGTTTGAACAGAAACATTTGTCTGTCGTGGGTCAGTCAGATGATTGGAGTCCAGAATGCTTCCGCTCTTCCTCTGATTCTAGGTGTGTGTTCAGAATCCTTTTTGGAGAGAACACTGAGCAATCTTTGTCTATCTAGAGTTCAACCATCCTATTGCAATTCTTTTTCCTTTATTTCCCCCTTCCGGGTATAATCTAATTTGGGTACCTTCTCAAATGCTGTTTTAGACTTGAATTTCCATCCTGTGGTTCCCCAGAGCAAAATGCCCCAGCTAATGAAGCACTAATGGGAACCAGGGAGAAGGGACGCAACCTCCTCAGTCTCAGACCCCTCTGCTCTCCTCCCGCAGCACTCTCTTCCCGTTTCGGTATTTCTTCAGGAAGAGCAGTCAGTGAACCTGCCAGGCCCTACAGCATGGTGGCAGTGGCGGTGGCGGTAGTTGGTTGGAACGAGGATTTTCTCTTGCAGCGACTCCACCTGAGCTATACCAAACATCCTTTGCTTCCATTTCTTCCTTTTTCCTCTTCTTTATTTTTGAGACAAGCATTATTGTTAAATAGCCTAGGCTGGCTTCAAGTGCTCCATCTTTTTGTCCTGGGTTCCCAGTTACACCACCACACACCATTCTTTTCTTGTAATTCCTGGGTTATGTGGATGAGGGCACAGACTGAATCCTCATATGAGTTTATCCTGTTGTTTGCCTTTGTTTTTTACATATTTAAAACACTAAGGATGGGCCTGGAGAGACACTAGTTAAGAGGGCAGACTGCTATTGCAGAGGCCTGAATTTGGTTCTCAGTACTCACATCAAGGGGTTCACAAGAACCTCTAACCATCAGGATCTGACACCCTCTTCTGGCCTCTGCAGGCACTTGCACTCCCAATTACAATAACAAAACAACACTAAGGGCCTACAAGGTGGCTTGATGGGTAAATCAACTGTAGTCAAAGCTAATAAATAACCTGAGTTCAACCTCCATATATGTACCATGACTTGCACATTCACACAAAATAAAATGTAATTTTAATAAAAAATAAAACACTAAGAATTCCACTGACCCAAGGTTTAAGTCTTTTGTCTCTAATATGCAGGATTCTAATGACAATAATTGTTCATGATGGATTATTGATTGGACTTGGTGAAGCAGAGCATGAGAAAGAACAGAGAAGCATTCACAGACCTTCTCCCTGGATCACGGGTTGTTGCTTAGTGAACTACCTAGGATGCTCACCTAACCTCAGCTCTTACAGTTCTTTACCAGGGGTCAGGGAATAGGGTCACACAAGGTTCACTAGCTTGAGTCCCACTGCCTCAAAAGGATTTTCTCATTTGGTTGGACTCCAAAGGATAATGCCTTAAATGTAAAATGCTCCCCACCTGTTTATCCTCTGGTTCCTCCACAAGAACACAAACTGATTCTTCAGTGTAACTGGAGCCTGTGCAAGTTAGGGCCCCTGGAGAAGGCTAAGGTGCCCAAACCCTTTCTGCAACCAAAGGGCTAATTAGAGAAGCATTATGGATCTGTGTGGCCTCAGAGAACCAAAAGAATAATGGATGGACATTTAGGAAAACTCGTTTTAGCTCTGAACAAACGAATCTGTGTTTTAACTTTTAGTGAAGTCTGATATGAGAATGGATTACTTGTAGGTAATGAGCCCTGTCACCTCAGATCTTTAAACTGTCTGTCACATGCCAGAGGGCTCCAGATGGGAAGGAAGCCCAAGGCTAGAATGCTAAGGTACCTCTGAGTCCCCTTGGCTGCCTCTACCTTTGACAGGGAAAAGGGAGAAGTGGGGTGCTCTGGGGAGGGGCTGGCATTCAAGGACCTGGGATCTGGGGAGAAAGACACCAAAAGGCAGCAGGGTGCAGGGATGAGAGGGTAAGCAACATGGACACCACCAGTTCCTCCCAAATTCTGTTTACTACCTTTGTCCTACCATTCCAAACAATTTGAAAGTTATTCTTGAAGGGCACAGCTCCATCCAAAGCCTGGAGACCTGAGTGCCCATACTGACTGGGACCAGCTTACCTCTATGGCCCTTTCTTCTCATCTGGAAAATAAAAGGTAGGATTTGAAAGCTCCGAGTATCCCTTGAGTTCTGGCAGGCTGTGGACTGCCCTATTCTGAACCAGGTCAGCGTGGCAGTGATCTGGGAGGAGCTGCCTGCAACAGCTGTAGGCTTTCTGAGCTGGGCCCTTTCCAACTCAGCTGAGGCCTTTGTTATTGTGTTTTGTTTTGTTTTGCTTTTTTGTTTATTGTGGTATGGGATTTTTTGTTTTGTTTTGTTTATTTGGTTTAGGTTGTTTTGTTTCATTTGCCCACCCCTCCCAAGACAGTTTTCTCTGTGTAGCTCTGCACGTACTAAAACTCACTCTGTAGAGCAGGCTGGACTTGAACTTAGAAATCCACCTGCCTCTGCCTCCTGAGTGTACCACCACCACCACCACCTGTCTTGTTAATTCTTCTTTATGATGCTAAAAATGGATGGAACCTAGCCTCAAGCTGCTAGGCAAATGCTCTGCCACTGAACTGCATCCACAACCCTCAGCCCATTACATCCTTGTCCCAGGTGTCATTCACCACCACGGATAGATAGCAGGCTGTTTAGTAGGTAGCCTCTCCTCTATAACCAGAGCTGGACACCACAGATTTGCTGAGAATGGGGTTCAGCTCTGGTTATATGGAGTTTGCTCCCTGTTGTTCCAGGGACTAGGGAGAGTCTAGCTCAGAATTCATCTGCAGCTGGCCACATAAGGAGAAAAGCATTCACAAGACACTGTGACTGACATGAACCTACCCCTAGTCTGCCACCAAAGCACAACTTAGGTGCCCCTACTCGTGGGACACCCCTTGAACAAAAGAATCTTGTTCTTGGGATGGGGATGTAACTCCCTTGGTGGAGTGCCTCCCTAGCATCCACAAGGCCCTGGATTTGACCCCAGAACATCGAAAACTGGATGTGGTGGCTCATGCCTGTTATTCCAGGACTTGGGAGGTAGAGGCAGAAGGATCAGAAGTTCAAAGTTGCTTCTGGAATGCATGAGATTGTGTTTTAAGGGGGGAAAAAATGGTTATTTTTTTAATCCCATTACTTTGCAATCACTAAAAGGCAGCTAGGCAACAGAGCCTAGAGTCTGTGTTTAGACAGAGAATGGCTGATCAGGGAAGAGTCTTGCCCAAGCTTGGTGGGAAGAGAACCCAGCTGCACACATGTCACACTGGGCCACTTCTGAGCTTGCCTCAGCTCCTCTAGTACTCTACCCCAGACAGCCTTCTGGGAAAGGGAAATGTCAACCGAGGCTGCTCCCCGAAGAAACCTCAGAGGTGATTCCCAGGTGGGACTGCTCTGGGGCCTCAGGCTAGGAGGGGCCTGAAAGCTGATCTCTAGGAAGGCGGGGCTCTAAAACACTGCAAATAAAAGCATGGAGAAGCAGTACCAGTTTGGAGACCAGCAGGAGGCACTGGGAGTCTGCTGTTTCTAATAGCCTGGTGAGTGTGGAAGCTGGGGAGAGCAGGAGGGTTGGGGGTCACATGGAGCAGGGAAGAGGTTTGTACCCAGACAGTGTGGGGCATTCCAGGGAAAATCTGCACAAAATAGAAAGTCCCATCCTGAAATGGCTACTCATATCCTTTCGGAGTGGCCCAGGCAGAGTGGCAAACACCCCACATATTCCCGCCAAAAACAGGCAGGACAGACAGCACCACCCAGGCACACTTCACCAGTTAGAAGACCCAGCAGCCCGGCCTGTTGACAGAGAAGCACATCTTCAAAGGCCTCCCCCCCCCCCCGCACCCACTCCTTTTCAGAAGCCCATGGCACTGCGTGTCCTGCTCTTCTGCCTGCTGGTCCTGGCAGTCATTGAAGGCCATTGTCGGGAGGCAGCCATCCCAGGCTGCCACTTGCACCGTGAGTAACTCTGCTAGGGAGAGTGGATTGGGGGCAAAAGCAGAGGTATCCCAGAGCAGCAGATTGACCCCAGCCAGCAGTCTTCACAGGCTGCTTTCTCCTCTCCTTCCAGCCTTCAATGTAACAGTGCGAAGTGACCGCCATGGCACCTGCCAGGGCTCCCATGTAGCACAGGCCTGTGTAGGACACTGTGAGTCCAGCGCCTTCCCTTCCCGCTACTCTGTGCTGGTGGCCAGTGGCTACCGACACAACATCACCTCTATCTCCCAGTGCTGCACCATTAGCAGGCTGAAAAAGGTGAGGGACCTGGGCCTGATAGGGTCATGAGGGTGGGGACCCAGAGTGGGAAGGAATCGAAACAAATTTGGGTTCCTCCTCCAACAGGTGAAGGTGTGGCTGGACTGCGTGGGGAACCAGCGGGGGGAGCTTGAGATCTTCACTGCCAGGGCCTGCCAGTGTGATATGTGTCGCCTCTCCCGCTACTAGTGCCTGAATGGCTCAGGTTCCAGTCCTGCCACTGTATGCTATGGGTCTCTCAAATGAAGGGGCTACTCAGCTCTGCCCCTCCTTAGAGTCAGTGACTATGACCTCCTTTTACCTGGTCTATGAGCAGTCTCACTGCTATGCTGTCCTTTACCCCTGCCCTCAATAAAACAAGCAATGCTTGAGTTTCGCTCTTTATTAAGTCTGCCCCCTAGCCAGGTGAAGGGAGCAGACCATGATTACTGTAACCCCCCCCCTCACCCCAGGACAATGTGAATCTCTTCTTGCCTGTGCCCTCACCCCTCCCCCTGCCCAATAAATAAAAAGGGGACAAGAAAGTACAGGGCAAGGGAGAGGAGAGGAGAATGTTCCTGGACAGTGTCTTGTTGAGGGTGAGCTGGGCAGAATAAATAGACCGTGCCCCCATGGTGGGAATGAGGAAGGCCCTGGCCAGGCTGAGGCAGGACAGGCCAGGAGCAGAGATGGGAGCCCAGCTGTATAGGGCAGGGGAGGATCCCTGATGGCAGCTTCCCAGTTGCACACTTGCCCTGGTCTAGTCTTGCCAGAATCTTGCCACAAAGGCCTGAGAGTTCTGCTGCCAAGACTATCAACTTGCATTCTTGTCTCCCCCCCATGAAAGCTGTTCCCATGGGGCTGGCAGGGAGTCCTAGAACCACTCTGGCAAGGCCACGGGGAGGCATGGGCCTCACTGGGCCCCTGGGCAGAAGGGATGGAGGGGCTGGTAGCTCTGGGATTAGCTTCTCCTCTTCTAGATTTGTCTAGCTCTGACCCCCACTGGCAGCCACCTGGGGTGTAGGCCGAGGAAGGGGGGCTTCCTTGGCCCCTTGGGTCCCCTGTAGCCGTCGTAGCTGCAGCTCCTCCAAACCTCGCCATAGTTCCTGTCGTTCCTGGGCCTTTTGCTGCTCCCTGGGGAGAGAGGGTAAGGCAGCTCTTCCTCTCCTGACTGCCAACAGTCTAACCCCCCTCAGGTCATCCCACTGTAAAGTGACTAGGACTCCATGGGGCACCTCGGCTTAGAGGGGAGGTGAGGAGAGAAAGGAGAGGAAAATTAGGCAGTGAGCTGCCCTGAGGCACTGGTACAGGGAGTCAGAGCAGTCAGTGGGCAGCCCCCTGCTGGAAACAGGGTGAAGCTGACCACACTGGGATGGTCTGATGTCCCTCCCCAGTGGCCAGCCTCCGACCCAGTACTCACTGCTGTTTCTCCAGCTTGTAGGAGGCTGTAAGCTCGTCGAACAGCTTCCCATTCATCTCCATGAAAGTCTTGAGTACGTTGTAGATCAGCGAGACAATGGTTCTGATCGCCAAGGAGAGGTGTTACGGAGGTGAATGAAATACCATGCTGCTCGTCCCTGGTCCCTGAACACTGCCCATTTCCGTGCCCCTTTACCGCCCTCTGATATCCTGACATTTGCTCTCTGTCCATCTAGGAATGGTCCTGGGGTCTGGACTAGCTGTGGTGCCTGACTTCAAGGGCACAAGGCTTGGGCACTCACGGGTTCCAGTGCTCCTTGGACACTTGGTAGAGGGTCCCAAATACCGCAGGCAGCACAGTGTGGCAGTTGTCCTCAATGAGGCTCAGGATGTACTCATTATTCCAGAAATACAGAGCCCGCTCTGCAACCTGGACAAGTGAAGCAGGAGAGAGGGTCTGGTAATGGCTTTTGAGTGTACAAGGCCTATCTTTCAGCCTTCCCCCCAAACCCGGATCCTCCAACCTCCACACCCCATCCTGCGGGCTTATCTAACCCACTGGAGGAAACAAATGGAGAAGAGAGAGCATGGCTTCAGTCAACACCGCAGTTCTGACTCCTCCGGAGCCCACTGCACGTGTGCGGCCTTGGTGAGGCATGCAGCTCCTCAGCTGTCTGCTGTGTGAGTGGGGCTAAGAATACCCATCGCCACAGCTGTTGTCAGGCGGAAACGAGTTCCTGTACTTCAAGGTGTTTTCAAAGTGAAACACCAGAGCCATCTACCAGGTCATGGCTCCTAAGAATGAGTCTAGTCTAGCATAGGGACTGAGCCTTCTGGACAGAAAGTGGGACCAGTGATGTCTACGGTTACCAAGAAAAGAAAGGGGCCAACAGTCCTGCAGCCCACTTTGCCTCAGTTTCCCTGCTGAGTTTGCCACTGTGAGTTCCGTTCACTACCCTATGAATGACTATTGTTGCCCCATTTTGATCAAGGAAACCCACTTAGACTCAGAAGTGATTCCCCCAAGGCCTCTCAGCCAGCGGAATACAGATCTGAGGTTTGGCCCTAGGCCTCATGACCCTATTATCCCTATTATCAGGTCTCTAAGGCTGGAAGAGAAGCTAAGGGGAGAGAAGATTATGTTAGACTAACTTTGAAACTTTGCCAGGCTGTGCCTCTGCCCTGACCAACTTGTCTTTGTCACATACCTGGAAATGGGGGCTAGAGACACAGCGAGCCACCTGCTTGAAGAGGGGCTCCTGGATCTTCACAAACTGGGAGGGCTCGATGACATCAAGAATTTCTTCCATCTCCCCCAGGAACATCACCTGGGGAGAGGGCAGGGCAGCAGCTCACATTCCCCTAAAGCATGTACCTGCTTGCCTTCTGGAAGCCGAGCCCTCCCACCCACTCTCAGGGTTGGGAGAGCCCTTCATACCTCCTTCTGGGTGCAGGTTTTAGGCCAGTATTTGAGGAGTCCCCGGATAACCTGTAGGGTGGAGGAGGAGTCAGACCCGAAGAGTGAGGAGCCCACCTTCCCTCCAAGGTACTCACATGCTCAGTCAAAGTGGCATCCTTCTCCAGGAACTGCACCACACAGTATGCCAGCTGCAGGGCCAGGACAGAAAGAGGGAGCCAAGGTCAGGAAGGAAGAGGAGCCAAGAACTAGCTGCCCAGGACAGCGTGCCAGGCATCTGCTCATTACTGCCTTCACACTCTTGTTCACTGCTGCTTTGGACTTCAAGGCACCAAGCTTCTGAGTGCCCGGCAGCACAGAGCTGGTGTCTGAGGTCAGCTCTCAAGTAGAGGGAGACTGAATTAGAGACTCGGGGGTAAGAGGATGCAGCGAATGTCAATCAGACTTCCCAGCCCCACAGGCAGCCCTGAATGTCAGCAGCACCTGCTACTGCAGGGATAGGTTTGGGGCTCACCTGGGCATGAAAAACAGAAAGCGACTTGACAGAGTGCAAGGGGATCAGGACTCGAACCAGGAACTGCTTGTGCTCAGTCTTCAGGGGCAGCGCAAAGCCATTGATGATGCTTTGGAGTGGAAAGGAGGGGAGCAGGGTTCATGCAATCAGGCTCCAGTCCCTCCTACCAGACCCCCCCCAACTCGCAGGGCTCAGCCAATCAGGCCCCAGTTCTTCCTACGGGTGGGGGGTTGGGGGAACCCCAACTCCAGCCAAAGCAATTACCTTCCTAAGATCTCCAGCAGTTCGGCCACACCATTGAAGTGCTCCAGCTCATAGATGAACCTGCCGGAGAGGAGAAGACTCTAGAGGGTGGGAGCGTTGGGACGGGTTCAGCTCTCCACCAGCCTGACTCACCCTGCACAGCTGTCCAGCTCTCCCCAACCCAAAGCAGTGCACCCTTCCTGGTGCCCCAAAGCAGGCCCTACTGAGTCCACACCCAGTCCAGCCGCCTCTGCCCCTGTCAGTCCCAGCTCATTTCTTCCAGTCCCTAGCGGTCCTTACCTGATGCCCAGACAGTCAGCAGGCACCCAGTCTAGGACCTTCAACCTTCACGCAGTCAACCAAAGCAACGCCAAACACCTCTACCCTGCACTGTAATTCCCCAAATCCCCCTGGGAGGCAGGGCATATGAAAGCCATTACAGAGATGAAGCTGAGACTCCAGCTAAAGGCTACTTGCCTCAAAGTTAATAAGTGGGGAAGCTAATGGACTCTGAGCTCCTAGAGAACAGGGGGCATGTCTTCTGTTTTATCACTAGAAACAACAGCTAATGTTTCAAAGGCCCCACCTCAGGCTAGCAGCTTTGCCAGATGCTTTGGAGGCCCCATCTGGCTTCATCTGGAGAATGGCCCCACATTAGTACAGGCAGTGTGCCCACTTCAAAGAATGAAGCAAGCCGAGAACTCAAGGATTTGCCCGATTTGACCCAAATACTTGAACCAAATACACAACCATAGTCTCATCCACAAGGTCACAGGGGCTCCCAATGCCCAGCGGATATGGTGCTCATTACACGTTTGTAGAAAACCTGATACAATCAGAAGATCTAGACCCTACATTCGACTCGGCTGCCCTCCTCCCTCTAAATACTTAACTGACCCCTGCTTTCCTATTTTCTTACTTGCCCTCTATTTGCTCATCTGTAAAATGGAAATAAAACTTAATTCTCTACTGATATCACAGGCTTCGTATCATCAGTACTACATTGCAGAGACAGACTTTGGTAAACATATAGCCCACACAGCCTGGTAGTCCCAGCAGGGCCCTCCTTCCCTGCCTCCCTCCCAGGTCTCTGCTAAGAGGCAGCAGCCACTCACCGGAGGAAGATGTGGTTGCACTGTTTGCGGATGTAGGCCCGGAGACCCAGGAACTTGCCATACACCCGATGCAAGATGGTCTTGAGGTACTCACGTTCCCGAGGGTCCTCGCTGTCAAATAGTTCCAGGAGCTGTAAGACCCAGGGTTAGGGGAAATAAGCCCAGATGTCAACCTCTGTTTTTCCCATCCTATACCCATGGCCCCCAGATAGCCTGTGCCTGCCGTATGGTACCACCCAGCCTGGGCTCCCCAAGTCACCATCAGGACAAACTTTTGATCCACATATCTCTTGGCCACAGAAGGCTGGAAGTCTGGACTCTCCAAGAAACGCAGGAAAAACTCGTATACCAGCTGGAGGTTGGAGACAAACCAAAAGGTTCGCTTAGTTACGGCCTGACTGACTTCCCTCTCAGCCAACAGTGAGCATCTATACAAACTCCCCCCACAACCCTCTAATCTCCTCTGAAATGCAGACCCCTGCTCCCCAGCCCTTCACACCTGTAGATGTGGCCACGAAGGCTCAAGGTTGGGCTCATCCTCTTCAGGGTCAAATTCTGGGTTCTCACTGGGTGGCAGGGTCCGAAAGATATTTATTGATATCTAGGGGGACAAGTCAGGGTTCTTTAAGGATGAGACCTTGGAGGGAGAAGTTTTGGGAACTCTCAGAGTTCTCTATATCCC